TTTGTTAAAGTGTTTCGGCAAATGTTAAAGTGTTTCGGCAAATGTTAAAGTGTTTCAACACTTGTAATTTAGTTTTTATAACATTTAATTTTTTTTAATAAAATGTAAATTTGTCTCTAGCTTTGTAAAAGTGTTTCGCATCTTGTTAAATAGTTTTTTCTTTGGTAAAAGTGTTTCGCTAATGTAAATTTGTTTTAGAAAATATAAATTCGTCTCAAGCTTTGTTAAAGTGTTTCACACTTTGTAATTGTCGATTGCACTTCTCAGCCACCGTACAATGTCCCATAATACAGAATTGGGTTACAGGGATGAACTCCCATATAACAGCAGAAGTAGTTTCCCAACTGTATTTCTGATTACATCTAATACGTTTTGTGTAAACCAGCACCTGTTATGTTAATAGGTCATTTAACCACATGAGGAAATTCTAAATCTAATTTGCTAAAATCATATACAGTTTACCATCAGACCCTTAAATGATTCATACAACTACAAGTGTGACAATACTTAAACATATTTCCAGTTTAAGACAAAGATGACTTTTCTCATTAGAGCAATCTCATTTAGATGTTATTACTTGATAGACATATTGAAGAGAAGACGTGTGAATTGTATGAGTTTAATGCCATATTTTCCACGATGCTTACTTTATCTAACTTCATGAACCAAAAACTCGCCCCATCATTAAATTCAAGCAAATGTGTTTATGTTGTCATCTAAAGCCATGATTTAAAAGACACATATTATTTAGCAGATGATTTAGGCCGGTTTATTGTTGAATATAACATAGGTCAATAAACAAGCCAGTCACATGGGGACAGGGGAACTGAACAGCCAAAAGTTATGATATGTTTATGACCTGTGCCAAAACCTACTTGTCAACCCGATCTTTACGTAATTCACTGTCGTTATAAAGTAAACAATAGTCACATTTTAGAGCAGCAAACATTTTCATAAAGAAATTCACCACAGAATCTACTGCCCGGCGTTAAACATCTTCTTCCTGCCGTCCATACCAGACATGGCGTCCACGTTCTTACGCCAGTCAGTCACCTCCTCTTTCTGTGGGGTGAAAAAATGATGATTTGAAAGTGAATAAAACACAAGTATTTGCAACCATATTGTACAACACAAATACACACACCGTGTTGGAGAATACATTTGCTTGTAAATATAAGAATAAGAAATACATTCCTGCACTAAACACTGCAACAGATTATTTACACATACTTTAAAAACGTTGTCACTCTTTCTAATTCTGACCTTTTTTAAGCAAGTTTCACAGCTCTATCTTTATATTAAGAATTAGTGCTAATTTTATTTTTATTTTTTATCAAATGTGTCGTTTCTAAAGTCAAAATAAAACCTACAGCCTGGACTACAATCGATGTGTAATGACGAAGTATTATTTCATAGCTTCCTTGCTAAAACTGTTATTTTAGCAAGGAAAATAATATTTGTTATCTAATATGTGATGTGTTTTAACAGGACAAAAAAACCGAGCCCTGACAGAGTGGACTATTCTCAGTGAATGAAGAGAGAATATAACTTTATTAAGCCCTGAATGAATTTATTTGCCAGATATTGCTCAATAATTACAAAAACATAAGGATAAAAATACAAAAGAGTGTGAACTTAAAGTGTATAAGAAGTAACACTACCAGTGCATAACAGAATAACAGTACAAGTTAGATACATTAAGTAAGATAGAAACTGATGATTTTATAGTAATATTGACTATAATAATGAAACAGCAGCCCTTACCTTCTCCTCCTCTTTCTTCACAGTCTTCAGGGCGGCCTTGAAGTCCACGGACTCTTTGACCCTAGAGCCCAGCAGAGCCCCCAGCATGGCGTCAGCTGAGACCCTCACCCTCTTCAGGGCCGGCCTCTTCATCTTGCCCTTCAACTCAAAGATCTTCTGAGACAGGTCCTGTATCTTTTTCCCAAAACAAATGACAGACACACCCTCAAATATTGGGGACAAACAATGTGTGTGTCTTATACAGTATGCTTGTGAAAAAGGATAGAACTCAAGCAGTAATTCACAAAGATGGCTTACCTCAATACTACATTTCGACACTTTAGAATTAACGTCGTACCGCTCTTCATCAACCACATCAATCTTCTGGTGCAGCTCTTTACAAAAATTCTGTTGATAGAAACCTATAAAGTATTACACTCATTTAAGTAACAATTCCCTGAATTTATAACTTGCCCATATGACTTGATAGAAACACTGATACAGTAACAATTCAAACACAAAGACAGGGCAGCATGGGCAGGGATTTGTTCTAAGCATATCACAATAAAAACACATAGCAAAACACTTCTCCAGTACACCACACTTTATTTAGTTCTGCAATATGCAAATGCTCTCAAAATGATTTATAAAACATGCCATAATAATTTATATAAATGGTTGTAGAATGTTTATTTATACATTTATAATTTATCTGAGGACTTGGCCCTTAAAGTGTTGACATTGAGGTCTGAAGATTATTCTGAAAAACTCTGAATACAAATGTTGTGTTTGGCAGGTGGCATTGCTGTTGAGGTTTTCTTTTAATATAAGTTGAAATGCTTTGAGCTCCAAAAACGTATAACATTCACCTTGATTGTAATTGGGCACCTGCTTGCGGATAGATAACGATTAGGGTTCAAGGTTCAATGTTCTTTATTTGTCATATGAACATAGCTACAGAGTAGTTATGTCGATGAAAATCTTAGGTCACAGGCTTCTCCAACAGTGCAACACAATAATACAGATAAACAGACAAATATAGTAAGTAAATATTAAAAAGTAAATACAAAAACAAAAATAGTTTAAAAAAAGTTAAATAGTGAAATAAGAGTCTATATGCAAGCTATTGGAATGATATATTAGATAAATAGATAAATAATTACTAAGTAGCAGATGAATGTTATGGATGTTGTTTCAGCAGTTCAGTTGTTTAGCAGTCTTATTGCCTATGGGATGAAACTGTCTCTGAATCTGGTGGTTTTTGTCCGGATGCTGCGGTAACGCCTGCCAGACATTTGAAGGCGATATGGAAAAAGCGATCTGCTCAAAGTGTTTAGACAGTAATTTACTGTTGACTTAGAACCAAAACTCCCCAAATATATGTAATTATATGGAGTGAAATGACTCAATGATAAATGTAGGCTACCTGTAGATCCTGCAGAGACAGGCTGGACAGCTGCAGTTGTGGGACTCTCTCAGAGAGGACTCTCTCTCGTTCCTCTTTTTTCATTTGTATGTCGTTTTCCAGCAAAGTCATGGCCTTCTTTAGCAGCTTGGTCTGGTGTACATACATGTAAAGAATTACACTTCAGTCAACCAGAGAATATGTTGAAGCCTTGCTTTCACACTGCCATACATTACCTTCAAGAACAGTCTGCGAGATGCACTGATCTTTGGCTTTGGTTTCTGGAAAAAAGACGTCATACATATCAAATCTCTAGAAAACATTTCAATATAAAGCAGCACACAGTTTCTATGTACATGCAGGTTTTGCACATTAGTCTCTTTACAATTCAACACCCAACACAATAACACTCTGTGCAATACTGACTACAGCCTGAGTTGAATTTGACTTTACCCTTCATATTTAAACGTTTCATTATATTGTATTTTTACAGTATTTCCTTATTATACAAGTGTTAAGTCAATCAATTCCACAAATAGTCAAGGTACATGACTTTTTCATAGTAAAATCAACTTACCGAACCCCTTATCCAATTAAGAAGGTGATGTATTTCAAGAAGAGAAAGAGAAAAGGTGCAATTTGTTACACTCGTTGAACTTTTTTTAATATAATTTGCGTGATAAGTACATAAGACATAGCTACTTACCCTTCAGACATGGTTGCAGTTGTATGTTTACCCTTTATCTAGAGAAGAAAGGAATAAGACTACTGTATTTTACACACATGAAGCTCAACTAAGGTACTTTAACAGAAGCAAAGCAACATTCAACACATTGGATTAAGACATCCTATAGGTTGCAGTTGTATAGGAGAGGACACAAACAATGTATGACATTGTCAAGAGGTCAAACTGACACCTTCAAAAATACTCTCTCAAACATTGCCAAAAATCAAATCAAATCATCGATCAAGACCATAATGGTTGGTGTAATAGTGACCTGATTCATGTTGTTTTTATTTAATATTTTGTATCCCTGTATTTTAACTGCAAACATATTCTTAAATGTACAGCTCAATACAATGAAATGACAAAATAATAATCAATGTGACAAGGTTGCAAAGACATACATATAATAAATCCACACTGTGATTAGTTATGTAAAACTTAAACCAGCTGATTTTTTGATCTAAGCAAAAAAGACTCTCCTCCTTGACTCCAGTGTAAGAAGAATTGTTTGTAAAGTGAGATAGTTTTAGAAAGAAAACAGTCAGCTGTAAGGAATTATAAGTGGACAAACAAACAAGCTGTTTTGGAGTTGAAAAATTACACTTTCTTTTCTCATTTCTAATAAACTGATATGATTTTGTCTTGCAATAAAAATCCTAATACTTCAAAACAAAACCCCTTACCTTAGCAGGAGACAGATACTCAAAGGCGTCTTTTTCTGAGAGGAGAAGCGCAGAAAGAGGGTAGATATATAGATTCCAGTGGCCATGTGAGTGGCTCACTAAAATAGACCCTCTGTCCGCACCATTCTTGCACTGCGTCCCTCACATCTCACATGTATGAGGTGTGAATCTTTCTTGGGAATGTCCTCCTGTGATGCTTTCTTAATGTGGAGGAGAAGAGGAGACGGGGGTCTCCTCGTTAAGGAAGACGGGTGGTGGAGGTCAAAGGAGCCAAAGTTAGGTTTGAAATTGAAGTTGTTCCCAAATACATTTAAATCGGTTAGATGAGAAAAACAATGGCAGGATTGATATAGTTTTATTTATTGCTGGTTTCATGTTTGTATCAAGTACATCAACCAACATTAATATCACATATGCCCACTCAAATAACATAGACACAGACTGCAATCATGCTGTTTAATCTTCAGCATTTAATAGGCAATATATGTTGAATGTCTGACAAGCTTGATATACATATATCACAGCAGAGAACAAACTAGCAGTTGTTTATTACAAACAATGTCTCTCCACATTCAATATATTATCCTGTAGCTCTACAAGTGTCTGAGAGATGGTTTAAAGAGTTCTGCTGCCATCACATGGACACAGAGGAGAACTACAGTTCTACAGTTTCTACCTCAGGCCACCAAGCCTATAGTCTCAAGTGATATACTCTTTCAATTACTTTACTTATATGCGTTTTTTTAAAAATTCCCTTTATAGCTTTTCACGCCATTGTTCTTAACTATTTATTCCCCCCTAGCGTGTTTTTATTGTTTGTCTGCACTTGTGACAGCGTTGTACTACAAATCTCGTTTTTTGTACAATGACAATAAAGGCTTTCTATTCTATATACTCTCCTCTATACTCTATTCTACAGGCACAACTCTAATGCAAAGCTGTAAGTGACTAAGAAATCCGTTTTACTATTCTCTAAATCCTCAACTTAAAATATGCTTTAGATAAACAGTTGCTCTCCTTTATAACTATAATATTAAAACGAGCAAGTCCATCCTGGTTTTAAGGGTAGTTGTCCAACTTTTAATTCCTCAATCAATATAATAAAGGTAAGACAGTCAGCAAAGTTAAGCAATTATTAAAACAAAAAGGGCTGTAATGATCCATCAATCCATTGAATGATCCAATATTGATACAGAATCTACTGGCCGGCGTTAAACATCTTCTTCCTGCCGTCCATACCAGACATGGCGTCCACGTTCTTACGCCAGTCAGTCACCTCCTCTTTCTGTGGGGTGAAAAAAATGATGATTTGAAAGTGATTAAAACATAAGTATTTGCAACCATATTGTACAACACAAATACACACACTGTGTTGGAGAATACATTTGCTTGTAAATATAAGAATAAGTAATACATTCCTGCACTAAACACTGCAACAGATTATTTACACATGCTTCTGTTGGAATCATAACAAATCACAGATGAAACACAGGCAAGAGAAAACAGATCATTTGAATCCAATGGGCTGTAACCTGACGGTTTCCATGACCCTGAAGCAAAAGCCAGGCGTACCTTTTCCTCTTCCTTCTTGACCGTTTTGAGACTGGCCTTGAAGTCGATGGTCTCCTTGTGTTTGGAGCCCAGCAGAACGCTCAGCATGGCTTCAGCTGAGATCTTCACTCTCCTCAGGGTCGGCTTCTTGAACTTACTCTGGATCTCAGTGATCTTCAGTTTCATGTTTTCAATCTGTTCAGGGGATCAATTCAGAAAAAAGTCACGTGCTGATGCCATTCCACCACTGTGAGTCAAGAATGAACCCAAACTACTACAGTATTGATTCATTTACATGAAACCAAAGGGTAGTTATTTTCGACCAGATCACTTCTTCACATCCATTATGGATTTATAAACACTGAGACTTATCAATATGTCTATTTGTTATTTATCCAAAATTGAGAGTTGGACGCAGCCTTGAAATATATTTAGACAAATCTCAAACCATCAAACAACTCTTGCAGACTTCCACCGGCGATACAGTTGAATAAGATTAAACAAGTTGTGGTCAAAAGCTTATACGTGGATCTTGAGTTTCTAGGGTCCTAAACTATTCAGATTTTGTTTGTATATGTGTGTTCAAATAATCAATTAATAACTCAGATCGCTCAATACCACATATTTGATAAAAGCTAATCTTGCTGCAGATGATCTAACCCTTATTTATATACTGTATGTTGAATGCTATAAGAGTACATCAGGCTTTAAGCATTAGTTTCTGTTATGACTCTGTGCTGCCACTCGGAGGCAGTGTCTATTCACTTAAAGGTGGGGTAGGTAATTCACTTCAGAAACACTTTTTGTTATATTCCATGGAATGCTCTTAACATCCCGATAGCAATGAATATATTAAATGGTTTGACAATAAATACATACAAAAAATTCATCTGTGGAAGCCGTGGCGTTGTAAAAAGCACGACCAATCATCTGAGCCGGCCCGGCTAAAATAACTGGATGGCCTACCTGCCTGTCAGCCTTCCATCTGTGCACAAACTTATCTCGTGCCCTCATTGGTCATGTGCGCGTTCGTGTGTGTTGCAGGAGGGGCTCTGTAAGGAAGGGGCAGATTGTTCGGCTGTGGACTTTCAAATTCTAGCGCACTCGAGCTGGTTTCTCCATTCTTACCTACCCTACCTTTAAAGCTCTTTTATGGTGTGACCCTGTGTTCATAGTAAAGTTACTGGATGGATAAACTATACATACATGTCCACTTGTATCACTTTATCTTTCTATTTAGTCGAGATGCTCACCTCTTTCTCATTTTTGGACACCTTGAGACCGATATCGTACCACTCCTCATCTACAACATCGATCTTGTGCTGCAAGTCTCTGCAAAAATCCTGTAAGAAAAGGAGAAACACACCCTCTAATGGTGTCAGAATATCATGATAAACTTAAAGGGGACCTATCATGCAAAATGCACTTTAGTACGTCTTTTATACATGAATATGTGTCCCCGGTGTGTCAGGGAACTCACCAGGTGTCAGAAAACACAACCCTCTCTCTTTTCCTCCATACCCAAATCTCTAAAAACGGGGCTGCAACGGATCTGATACAGACTGATACAGATTTTAAATATCTCTGACGTCAGAAACGAGGAGCTCCGCCTATATGGCCAACTCTCCACCTATCAGGGGAATGAGAGGTTGCCGTGGCATGGTAACAACATGGTAACATGACGCTCGTGCCACGCCCCCCTCCTTTGCAGGGGGGCGTGGTCAGCTGCAGCTCATTTGCCACAGAATCAGCCCTTGCAAAAACAGGGCTGGAATACAGCAAATAGAGCTAAATGAGGCATGCTAAAATGCATGATCTGTTTGGTATTTTGAAAAAAAAACTTCACAGACATGTTTTATATGGTATGGCCCTACAATATATTATTCAAATATAGCATGATAGGTCCACTTTAAATGGAAAGAATTGGATAAGTGAGAGAGTGTTTGATGATGTGAATAAAGGTAAATACCTGAAGCTCTTGCAGAGACTGACCAGACATGCTAAGAGGAGGAACTCTTTCTGCCAGAGCCGCTTCTTTCTCCTTCAGCTTCTGCTCCGTCTCGTCCTGCAGCATCTGAGCTGCCACTGTCAGAAGTCTGATCTACAGAACAAAACATCAAAATAAGGAAATAACTTTGAGCTTTTATTGGGATCTCTTGACCAAGTAAAACATAGTCCTCAATATCCAACGTTTTTACGAGTTTAGTACATTTTAAAAAATTAAAAAAAGAAGCTATATTACTATTGTTCTTAAAGTGCATACAAAGTAATGCACTCCAATGTCTCAAGTCAATTTCATCATAATTAATAAAGCATCTAACATAAAGTGTATATTTCATCTCAAATAAAGAAAAACGTACCTTCAACCCCAGCCTTCGAGAGGAGGAGATCTTTGATTTTTGTTTCTATAATTCAGACATAAGAAACACTCCATATAAATATACATACAGCAAATTGCATATGATCTTTTTAAATTGCATTTATAGATAGAAAAACAAAAAATAGGGATTGAAGGAAAGAGATTGAATACTCACTCTGTTGAAGCATTCACAAAGAGAGAGAAAAAGATAGTTACATATCAAAACATAGTTTACAGTATACTAAGGTTATCAATGAACACAATCAAATAAACCAGAAGCAATTATACTCACTCAGCCATGATTGTCTTTATTTCCAGCACTAGAATAGGGAAAAGAAAATAAGTATTTTTGCAGAACGTGAAAACTGTGACTTTGATAACTTTAAACCATCATGCTTACAGAGTGAAGTCAGCTGTTTTCTAAAGATTGATGATTGTTTTAACCTCCCTTGTCAAAGTATTTCACCCACCCCAAACATTCACTGGCCCATTAAGCCGGCAAAGAGTTATTTACTGTTGCCCCAGCGCTGGTTTACGATTGTTGTGCTTTTTCTAAACCTACCAAAGTACTTCTGTCATAATTTACATTTAGCTTTCTAAGTAATAACCCAGAATAATATACTTCATCCAAATAAAGAGAATCACAAGGATGAAATGATTATTGTTCCAAATGTAAAAACATTAGGGTGATCCTTAAAATTGAAAGTCGGAAAGTCTAAGCTCCAACCGGCAGAATTCATTCTATTAGTCAAGAAAACTCTCCTGGTGAATTGTTTCCTCAATCTGACAACATTTACCCCTCCCTCATCAACCTTGAAGTTTAGCCTCAGTTGCAGCACCGTGGCTGCTGGTGTGGCAGCCCAGGTCGATGAGGGAGGGGTAAATGTTGTCAGATTGAGGAATACATTCACCAGGAGAGTTTTCTTGACTAATGAATTCTGGGGGTTGGAGCTTAGACTTTCCGACTTTCAATTTGAAGGACCACCCTACGTGAGGCTAAACTTCAAGGTTGATGAGGGAGGGGTAAATGTTGTTGGAATCTGAATAAAATTCACCAGGAGAGTTTTCTTGACTATCATAACAAATGTCGCTGGTTGGAGCTTAAAATAAATGAATTTGAAAATGTACATGGCACTACGGACCACCCTAAAAAACCTGTTACAACTAAATGTAATTATAAGTCCAGTGCAGATTTAGTATGCATCGGTTTAGGATACATCTTCCAAAAATGTAAAAGCATTTGTGTCACATTCAAAGTGTGTGTGCCGGGTCAGTAGACGTGCATAACTCACAAGAGTCTCTGCATAGGTGGCAAAAAAGGTGAATGGCCAGATAATCCACAGGCATGCAAACTGACAATGTTATAATTGACGTTAATTACAACAGAATTCCAATAATACAACAAAGTCAAGTCAAGCAATAATCTGAATAAAAGATTTTCCTTATTACAAGTTCATTGTTTTAACTCACAGCATGCTGAGAAATTACTCCCAATTCCCAGATGATGTCCACATGCCTACCAAGTTTATTCTAAAACATACAAGCAACTCTGTACCTTAGTGAAGCTGAAACAACTCCTTAGGCCTCCACACTGAAGAAAGGTGTGTGTGAGGGAGGCAGCAATGGACTCCTAGACTACCAGAAATCAGATTTATAGTGTCATTGCCTAGTGTGAATGGCCCACAAAAATAGACTCCTCTCTGTCCACCAACAGTGGTATTTAGTGTCGCACATAGCATCCCCACAATATCACAGAGGAAAGGAGGTGATAAAACTCAAACACTTGAGTATCTTGTGTAAATTAAAAACACCTGTTGAGGGAAGTGACAGTGAGAATTTAAAGAGACATTACCCGCGGACCCTCTGAGTGCATGCTGGGTCAGCGTCACCCATTCACATTTGACCGGGGCTAGTTTTGGGAAATGTGGATAACATTGTTAAGGAGTCAAACAGAAGGAAGAAATCAGCGTAGAGTTTCAGCACTAAGTAGTTGTGCTAATTTATTAATAGAACAAACAGCTCTGTCCAAGTGTGATCTTGACCGCCTCAAGATGTCCATCTATAGGCATCCTAACTGAGACTGTTTTAAAGACCATATCACATATCTGTTTTTCAAGCGGCCGAAATCAACTATGATATTGCTTTGTTCATTTCCAATTTTCAAATGAATTAACAAAATGGAGATCTAAATATTGCAAATCAATTAGATACTGTTATTTGTCCCCTTGCACCAATTGAAATGGAGCTATTTTATTACTTTTACTACAGCATCCAATAAGTACGTTTAAGTAAGTAACTGCGGTACACCACAAACTATATATTGTAAATAATACAGCCATAATAAATCTGTGCCTCTTTATCTTAGTGTAATTTTAGTTTTTGTCCAGTTATGGTTACATTTTAAATGTAAATTATACTGTAAACCAAAAAAGAGACAAAACAAACAATAAACTAAGTTGACTTTGACTGATAGCATTATTTTTCTATAGATATCTTGATGATAATCCTGCAGATAAAACAGATATTGTGACAGCGTTTCTGATAACACATTAAAGGACCACCTTGGAGGTAAAAACAAAGCCAAAAATCAGTCATGTTTTATTTAGGCGAGCAGAGGAACACAGACAGGTGCTGGTCAGGACTTGATGGTTTGTAAACTGAGCCAGGGTTCAATCTGCGTCATTGTTGGAACAGGGAGTCACATGGTTCAAAGGGCTGCGACTTATGCTCTCACGTAAGGACATATTGGCACAGAACGATTAAACAAAAATAGTTCTAACCTGGGGTCAAATACTTTTCTAAAATATAACCTTGAAGTAATTGCAAAAAGGAGTTTTCAAGTAATCTAATATTGCACCTCCGCACAAAGGGCAAATTAGAAGAAGAATGGTCAGGTCTACATTTCCCATATTGCATCAATCAGCATACACTAGTTTATGCTGCATTCACATAATACCCGCAACATCTCCTGTCCTTCTAACTTGAGTTTTAATGCTTTATGACTTTCACTGTAAAAAAACTGCCTTTTATTTAGCGACATTTGCAGGCAATTTTGTTTTTACGCAAACAATGACCAATTGGTGAAACAAATTTCAGAGTTTGTCTACAGAGAGTTTATTGTTATAACTATAAAGTATTTCAACAAATTATCTATAGTTTTCCAGAAATAATGGTCATGATTCTAACATTTAATCCTCCATTGTGCCTTGATAAGTTAACTTTATTTCGTTTTTTCAAGTAATTTATGTTTATTTGTGAAAGAGTGAGAAAATATAATGTTTGAACAATGGAAACAGTGACTTAATGGCTTGAAATTGCATGTGATGTGAGTCCCAAATCCGAAGATAGGTGCTTGGTAGTTGTCAACAGTAGCAGCTGAGAACAAAGTTGTTAAACCATCTTTGTAAATCAAAGCAGACGTAACATTTTGAAACTGTAAACGTCTAAAATAAAAAAGGTTGCAGGTTCAGGGCTGCAATAAACTCCTCAGTAGAGTAAACACGGAGCAGCTAAAGTTCAGTTCACTGCACCGAACAAAACGACTGCTAAAAATAATGATTAAAACTGAAACAATAAATTGACCCTTTCAATTAAATCATCGTCTAAAAGTGTAAACATTTTTCAGCAAAGAACACAAAAGAATCAGTTCCAGATTGTTTCTTTATCCAATCAATCAAATGGATAATAAAGCAGATATTTAAAAGTTAAAGTCAGGCACCAGTTTTCTTTGTTGATCAGAAGCATTTATTTTTAGCACATAAACTGGTATTTTTCATTTCAACTACATGATGACAGAATGCTACTAACTTATCTCCAAAATATACAACTTCCTGTAGTCTATGCTGTACACACACATTTCCTCTGAAGTCTATACTGCACACACACTCAAACATACACTGTTGACCTATGTTAAGTAAATAACCGGTAACACCTTATATTAAGGTACACAAATTAACCATCAACTAGTTGCTAATTAACATGAAGCTTAGCGCAAGTTCAATGAGGAAGACCAATACCCCCTGGTGTTACACGTCACTTCAATCTCCTCTTCCATTAAGTAATCAGGGGCGTTACTCCCCAGCTAGCCAATCATCGCACCTGCTAACCCCTTTAAATCTGCTCTTCCCTCTCTGTTAGTTGTCATTTCAGGTGTCAACGCACAACCCTCCTCCACCCCTTCGCCTCCTGTCTCCTAATTCAGGGCCAAGCTAATCCTTCTTCCTTCAGACCAGACCGAACCACTTATCACCACCACCAGTGTCTAGACCCCGGGGGGGTTCATCGGAGCGGTTTTCCCCTCCCGAATGATCATCCTACAAACCGGGGCCTAATCTCCAAACATCAGTTAATTCATTGTTGTAATCTGTCAATCATCATTTTCTTATACCATGCGTCCCGGTAATAAACATGTATTTCATACATCACATCTCTCCTGATTGAAATGCATATTAGCAGTATATTGGCTCTTTATTAGTCATTATAAAACACTTATTAATGCATTATTCTACATGACCATATTCTTCTAGGAAGTTGTTGTATATGAGTTTTGGTCTTAATATGCTCTGCTCAATATGGGCCTAATAAGGCAGTAGTACCCCAAGAATAGTAATTCTCCCATAATAACACTTAGCAAATATGATCTATTCTTATGTAACAAGACATGAAACTATAAGTGTTAATTGTGTCTCAATAACTCAAAATTAGGTATTTATATATGTTCCCTATTTTAAAGTGAAGTCTTGTTCATAACCAATACGCTAGTAGTTTGACTCTAATTGACCTGAACAGGTTCCCTACTTAATTGCCTCCTCTTCACACTTTGTAAATACATTATAGCACACAACTACTGAAAGTAACCTCAACAGTATGAACAAAGTAGGCACACGTTGAAATATCTGTTTTATTAATAAAGAGAGGTTCAGACACATACCAAAACATGTCAAGTTTCTCCAAGGCTGAGAACACATATGCAGCCTGTACTTTTTTAATAAAAACAGATTTTGAACAGATGTTATGTATTTGTGATCACTGATCATACTGTGTGACCTGCTTGTATGTACTTACACAATAGATGTACTGTTCTCTTTATGTTGTACTCATACTTGTCAACCCTCCCGATTTTCGCGGGAAACTCCCGATTTCATTGCCCCCTCCCGGTTTCCTCCCGGGGTCATATTTCTCCCGCATTTCTCCCGATTTCTGACAAAATCAGATTTACTCAGGATTGTTTCCACTCTGACTTTAATACAGCTACACCATTGTTTGGTTTCCATGGTAGCGCGTCTCTTTAGTAGCATGCGCAACTGAAAGGCCGCGGTGGTTTTGAAATGCTCCCGATTTCTGAGGTCTCAGGGTTGGCAAGTATGGTTGAACATAGATTAAACAGCCAGCCAAACTCTTTTGAGAGCCAGGGAATGAGCAGCCATGCTCCTTTATTGACTTATTTGTAGTCCACTGACATTCAAACGGAGTGAAACTATAAAAAAATAAGTTACAAGGCACTCTGTTAAGCCCCGAGCCTGTTTTTCAGGTCTCAGGCTCGAAAATGACATTCCCAGAACAAATGACCATATCTTCACTTCTAAAAGGGTTAAATTAATAATCTTTTTTCTCAAAGCAAGGTTACACCTGTGAGTTGGATGTAGAAGTGTCAGAATCAATATAGATGCTTTTATTTTAAAGTAAATTCAGATTGAACATAGTAAAACAAATTAAATGATTGTGTCTGTCCAAAAAAAAAAAATTACTTATAGTGAAAACCACCCTTGAATGATGGGATGGTAGACTAAAAGCTTTAGGAATCCAAACTACAACATATAATAAGTACCCTGTATCAAGATTGATGCAAAACAAGTGAATTTTGACCTTTTTAGAGATATTTAGCAAAAGAAAACACTTCTGGGGTCATTTGGGTGGATTTGACCTATCTCTGGCCCCCCTGGCTCAATTTTGTTGATTGACATCTCTTTCTAACCGTCAGAGCCAATGGAATCGAGGGGAACTCCCACATACTCCTTATTTGGTAATGTGTGTGTGTGAGACTGACAAAACCGGAAGCTGCGATAACTCTGGTGGCTACCATTAGCAGCTAACTTTTACTCTCCGATTTTTACATACAAATGGAATTATGGATTATAAATTAAAAAACATTATTACACAGAAACATTATCAACCTATGGATTAACCGATTCAGCCACGTTTTTTCTCGTTTTAATGCCATTGAACAAGTCTTTTGATCAGATTCCATCTACGTAACATTGCAAAAATTGCAAAAATCAGGCATATCTTGCCTCAAAACGATGCAGAGAAACTAGTCCATGCATTTGTTACTTCAAGGCTGGATTATTGTAACTCTTTATTATCAGGGTGTACCAAGAAGTCAGTCAAGTCGCTTCAGCTAATTCAAAATGCTGCGGCTCGTGTACTAACCAGAGTTAGGAAAAGGGACCACATTACTCCTGTTCTGGCTGCCTTACACTGGCTCCCTATAGAACACAGGATAAAATTTAAAATTCTTCTTCTCGCCTACAAAGCCCTTAATGGGCAGGCGCCATCTTACCTTAAAGAACTCATTATACCCTACTGTCCTACTAGGGCATTGCGTTCCAAGAATGCAGGGTTGTTGGTTGTTCCTAGAGTCTCTAAAAGTACAATGGGAGCCAGAGCCTTTTCTTATCAAGCTCCACATTTGTGGAATCAGCTTCCAGTTTGTGTTCGGGCGGCAGACACCCTATCCGTTTTTAAGAGTGCGCTTAAGACCTTCCTTTTTGATAAAGCTTATAGTTAGGGCTGATTAGATCCAGCCCCTAGTTTTGCTGATATAGGCTTAGTTTGTCGGGGGACATCTTACTTCTTCCTTCTCTCTGTCTATACCTGTGTACTCTCATGTTCCGATTAACCCAGCTTCCCCAAATGTCTTTCTTTTTGGTGTCTATATACGCTGGGATCCGGAGACATGGATGATCCTGCGGTCCTGTGTCCTGGATCGCGAGCCCTGGATCTTGAGTCGTGGCTGTGGTCCTGGATCATAGGTCCTGGATGGATATCCTCGTGGATTCATCTTCCTATTATACACACATGCATTTCCAAACATTTGGACTACCTATGTTGCAAATGTATTATCTTTTCAATTTACACACGGCATCTATTGCACGTCTGTCCGTCCTGGGAGAGGGATCCCTCCTCTGTTGCTCTCCCTGAGGTTTCTCCCATTTTTCCCTTTAAACTGTGGGTTTTCTCCGGAAGTTTTTCCTTGTACGATGTGAGGGTCTAAGGACAGAGGGTGTCGTATTGTCATACTGATATTTTGTACAAACTGTAAAGTCCACTGAGACAAATGTAACATTTGTGATATTGGGCTATATAAATAAACATTGATTGATTGAAACATTGATTGATTGATTGACAGCTACGGTGAGAGGATCTCCCGTAAAAGCTATGCAAAGGTACGTGTTGTGATGTCTGTGTTCGCTTCCCCTATCGTGAGTTTGGATCACTCAGTGATGATATATATACCTAAATAATCTGTGGAACCTCAGCTTTAATCGGATATATTGTATGTGCAGCTACGATAAGTAATAAGGGTATCTTTTATCTTGAGTTCTGTGCCAAAGTGCGTTAGCATTTTCGCTCAGGGGTCATTTAGATGCTTCTTATGAGACTTGTGTTTTGTTTTGGTAAAAATGGTTTGTATCGTCAGTTAGCTGAGATTCTTCCCGTTAATCTGGTATAACACATTAATAGGTTCTTAAATATTAAGATGCCCTGAGACACAGTGTCGTAAAAAAAAAGCCCCTGCCGAGGGGGGCTTTGGGGCTTAACAGGTTAATGATCTCATACATGCAAGTGTAACATACACAGATTGTCACATAGGACCGCTAAGTGTAAACAAGGTAAATAAAGCTAATGCTCTGCAATAAGCATGTATACAGGCTAGTATGGCTAACGCTACTGTGTATGCTAACGCTAGCGTGAATGCTAATGCATTTTCTCATTGTGTTTAAACATCTCCAAATGACATCACATAAACACAACATGTTACTTACAGTGTAAGTGTAAGGCAACAATATAAATGTGCAAGTATGAAACATACAGGTCAATATCCCCCCCCCTATTGGTAGCTGAACTGTCAATACCCCAAAACATATTCTTAGATATTATAACTACTTAATTTTGAGTTATTTAGACACAATTAACACTTCATGTCTTGTTACATAAGAATAGATCATATTTGTTAAAGGTGGGGTAGGTAAGAATGGAGAAACCAGCTCAAGTGCGCTAGAATTTGAAAATACACAGCCGGAAAAAATCTGCCACTTCCTTACAGAGCCCCTCCTCCAACACACACGAACGCGCACATGACCAATGAGGGCACGAGATAAGTTTGTGCACAGATGGAAGGCTGACAGGCAGGTAGGCCATCCAGTTATTTTAGCCGGGCCGGCTCAGATGATTGGTCGTGCTTTTTACAACGCCACGGCTTCCACAGATGAATTTTTTGTATGGAATTGTTGTCAAAGCACTTAAGATATTCATTGCTATCGGGATGTTAAGAGCATTCCATGGAATATAACAAAAAGTGTATCTCGAACCGGTTTCTCAAACTTACCTACCCCACCTTTAAGTGTTATTATGGGAGAATTACTATTCTTGGGGTACTACTGCCTTATTAGGCCCATATTGAGCAGAGCATATTAAGACCAAAACTCATGTAAAACAACTTCCTTACTTGCAACAAATAAGCACTAATTAGAGGGTTATTGAGGAAAAACTCTCAACTAATGGCTTATTACTTGTAGAATATGGTCATGTATTATAAGGCATTAATAAGTGTTTTATAATGACTAATAAAAAGCCAATATACTGCTAATATGCATGTTAATTAACAACTAGTTGATGGTTAATTTGTGTACCTTAATATAAAGTGTTACCAAATAACCTAATATCCTAAAGTTCTAAACTGTGCAATGTTTTTAAATCTAAATCTACTGTCCAGCATCAAACAGCTTCTTCCTGCCCTCCATACCAGACATGGCCTCCACGTTCTTACGCCAGTCAGTGACCTCATCTTTCTGTTCATAAGAAGAAAATATGTCTCAGTGAAGCTGTGCTCTTTAAGAATAGCCCCAATAAATTAAGAAATACCAAAGCATTGTGTTATAATTCAAACCTAATCTAAACCTAGGAGTCAACCCAGCTTTGAAACAATGGGATGTTTAAGATTCCACACTTACCTTCTCCTCCTCTTTCTTCACGGTCTTCAGGTTGGCCTTAAAGTCCATGGATTCTTTGACCTTAGTGCCCAGCAGAGCTCCCAGCATGGGGTCAGCTGAGATCTTCACCCTCTTGAGAGCAGGTCGCTTCATGTTACCCTTCAGCTCAATAATGTTCATGGAAAGATCTTCAACCTGCAATAAACAATGACAAATGTAAGTGACAGGTACACAAAAATGAACACCTTCAAAAATCCAATCAGTCCCAATGAAAATACATTTATCAATAGATCATAAGCACAAACTAAGTAAGGCTATTAACCCTAAATGTTTCTAGTAAATAATAAAACTGATAATATACTGCAGCTTGTTCATTTGTAAAGAACGGTTTCATTTGTTAACACATCCATGAAGCAAGGATTAAATCAACATATAAGTCCAATGAAAATAATAAATATGTACCTCCTTAGTATTTTTGACCACTTTGGCATCAACGTCATAACGCTCTTCATCTACCACATCGATCTTTCGGTGCAGATCTTTGCACAGAGCCTGCAGACAGAGAGAGAATCAGATTGTGTGTGTTTAACCTTTAATGACGAGCATTCAATGGCTTTGTATGTTGCGCAGTTGCAAATGTCAAAGTTTAAAACTGTGTTGATGCAACACAAAGTCATTTATGAAACATCAAACCAAGAGTATGGTGTATTTTATTACTAGTGTGGTGATTGTGACAGTCATGGTTGTATTTCAAATGTATCCATTCCTTGTCTAAGATCATATGTATTCTATTAATATGATTTATTAAATGTTTCTCTAAAAATGAATGTCAGCTACATGCAGACAATGTCAAATGTAGACAGTGAGGTACCTCTCTTCTAATGCGCGTACTGCATATGAACATACTGTATGCATGTTACCTATAAACATCAGAGAAATGCATTATGGAACAATTCCTTGATGTGGACTCACTGTAGAATGATTGACCGGCAGTGACCTGCACATACCAGAAGGTCTTGGACGGACAAACCAGACAGCTGGAGTGGAGGGACTCTCTCAGCCAGAGTGGCTTCCCTCGCCTGCTTATTTTCCTCCTTCTCCTTCTCCAACATCCCAGCTGCCATTTTCAGCAGCTTGGTCTAAATTGGGTAAAATAAATCAGGTTGATTAACTATGTGGCACGGATCAGACTTATGAAAGCTTTAGCGCAAGTTCAATAAGGAAGACCTAACTCGAGTCACTCACACGTCACTCTATGGCTCCCTTCCCCCCTCATTAAATATGAGGGCGTCACGCCTCAGCAGCCAATCGCTGCACATGCTAAATGCCTTAAATACCTGCTCTTCCTCCCTGTCAGTTGTCATTGCAGATGATCACACGCAACCCGCCTCCACCCCTCTCGCCTCCCGTCTCCTTCAGGACAAAGCTAAACCTTCCTCCTTCAGACTGGTCTCACCTACTCATCACCACCACCAGTGTCTAGACCCCGGGGATTTCATCGGAGCGGTGCTTTCCCTCCTGAATGATTATCCTGCAAACCGGGGGCCTAATCGCCAAACACCATTACATTCTCCTGTTGTACTATCATGGCAATCATTTCATTCATATGACGTGTAAACAATAAATATGTAATTCTTACATCACGTCTCTCCGGTTTGAAATATAGATGTTATCATAAAGACATACTGCGAGATGCAGAGATCTTTGATTTGTTCTGCTCCAAAAGAAAATATTTATGTAGCAATTAGCAGTTATGTACACAATGTAATGTATGTAAGTGTATATTTGTTTTTTCATAAGATAAAAATAATTATATAGATAACTTACCTGTCTGTGGTAGACATTATGATGTTGGAAGGAAAATAAACGAGAGATAGCATCATAACATTGTAAAAGATTACTTGAATTTTACAAATACAGATGTACAGTACATGGTAAAGAAAGCATAACTTACCCCTCAGACATGATTGCTGTTTGTCTGAATGAATACAATAATTCAAATTCAGAAACATTAAATGCAAGGACAGTATCGGTTGCAGTAGTATTACTACATACATGCTGTTAAGCAGTAACACTGTAATAATTATTATTTTGTGATTCATGCACCAGAATCTGATACTTAATAGAAAACATACTGTTTATTCACATCTGGTTGACTGGGCCGACTCATCCAGACCTCGGTTTGTCAACATACCAACATTAAGCCCTTCAATTAGTAACGCTGCATGTGTAAATGCTGGACATTTTTTTAAGTGTAGTCGTAAAATCCCAGAGTTGATCCATTGTTCAAGGCAGCAAGAATCAACCTTAGCTTTTGCAAAATAAAATTAAAAAAGTACTAAAATATAGGTGGATTAATTTCCCTAATGCATGTTTAAGTAAGTAAGTAATATTATAGTGTTGTGTTGGTCTCTTAAAGATCAAACAGTATCAAATATTTTACAGTAAACCTGCATGTATTTTCACCGATTGGCTTAATACAGTTCCTGCTGTTCTTTACCATCCATCCATCCATCCATCTTCTCCCGCTTATCCGTGGTCGGGTCGCGGGGGTAGCAGTTCCAGCAGAGAGCCCCAAACTTTATTTTCCCTGGCGACATCAACCAGCTCTGACTGGGGGATCCCAAGGCGCTCCCAGGCCAGCGAAGAGATATAATCCCTCCACCTGGTCCTAGGTCTACCCCTTGGTCTCTTCCCAGCTGGACGTGCCTGGAACACCTCGGGAGGCGCCCAGGTGGCATCCTAACTAGGTGCCCGAACCACCTCAACTGGCTCCTTTCGACGCGAAGGAGGAGCGGCTCAACTCCGAGTCCCTCCCTGATGACCGAACTTCTCACCTTATCCCTAAGGGAGACACCAGCCACCCTGCGGAGAAAACCCATCTCGGCCGCTTGTATCCCCGATCTCGTTCTTTCGGTCATGACCCATCCTTCATGACCATAGGTGAGGGTAGGAACGAAAATGGCCCGGTAGACAGAGAGCTTTGCCTTCTGGCTCAGCTCCCTTTTCGTCACAACGGTGCGGTAAAGCGACTGCAGTACCGCTCCCGCTGCTCCGATTCTCCGGCCCATCTCACGCTCCATTGTTCCCTCACTCGAGAACAAGACCCCAAGATACTTGAACTCCTTCACTTGGGGTAAGGATTCATTCCCTACTTGAAGTGGACAGTCCATCGGTTTCCTGCTGAGAACCATGGCCTCAGATTTGGAGGTGCTGATCCTCATCCTAGCCGCTTCACACTCGGTTGCGAACCGATCCAGTGAGTGCTGAAGGTCGCAGACCGATTAAGCCATTAGAACCACATCATCTGCAAAAAAGCAGTGGTGCAATCCTTAGTCCACCGAACTGCAGACCCCCCTCCCCCCATGACTACGCCTCGAAATCCGATCCATGTATATTACAAACAGGATTGGTGACAAAGTGCAGCCCTGGCGGAGGCCAACCCTCACCCGAAATGGGTCCGACTTACTGCCGAGGACCCGGACCACAGCTCTCGCTTTGGGAGTACAGAGATTGGATGGCCCTGAGTAGAGACCCCCTCACCCCATACTCCCGCAGCACCTCCCACAGTAACTCCCTGGGAACTCGGTCATACGCCTTCTCCAAGTCTACAAAACACATGTAGACCGGATAAGCGTACTCCCAGGCCCCCTCCAGGATCCTTGCGAGAGTAAAAAGCTGATCCGTCGTTCCACGACCAGGACGGAATCCGCATTGTTCCTCCTCAATCTGAGGTTCGACAATCTGTTCTTTACATTTTTCAAAATAAATGCAACAGTCTTACTTATTCTTAAACCACATTTTTGTCATTATAAAAATGAACATACCTTTGTATCCCTGCAGAAAACCTGTTGAGGTGATAAGTGGCTGTCTTTAAGTGACAAGACTTTTCCTCAAGAGAAAAACGTGCGCCAAATGGTTGAGTGGTCAACTGAAATAGCCTCCTCTGACCTGACATACTGTATATCACTTCACCTCTACATGGCATCCCCCCCCCCACACCAAGTTAACCACCAATTTTGTATACTCCCATTACTCAACACCAAGAGTAGAGGCTTTAAGGACAGCCAGTGAAAAACATCCATGAACACATCATCATCAAAACTGGAAAATCTAACAAACCAAAGAAAAACCAAGCATTAAAGTCTTTATGGTCTTTTAATAAGCATCACATGTTTTACAGACCAGTGGCAGCGCCTTCATCTGTATAATACAAATACTTCACTTCAAATGACAAACTCACAAAGCGACTCTGCATTTTCTTTAACACAATTTCAATGCAAAGGGTACGCTATTCTATACAATGTTTATGATTACACCATAAAGTGGTATTTTGTACATACATGTTTACATTAAATCAAGAAAAAACCATTTATTTCAACGTCATTATACACTCTTTCTTTAAGTCTGCATCTCTGCAGACTTTCCTAACGGAGGTGCCCATAGACTTGGCTTTTTTGTCTAATGGCGATGAGTTGTTGCAAGCATGTCACGATGGTGTGTCTTGTTCATCCTTTTTATACCATTATGAGTCCTCATGAACTCACACACTCAAGCATTACAGCCGCACACACAGGTGATGCCAATTAAGCCAGTGAGGGTTTAGTGCTTAGGCCTTAGGGTGTATGTTGGGATTGGGCCGATGTATTACTAACAGCACTGTCTATTGTCCTGCGTTAAACATCTTCTTCCTGCCGTCCATACCAGACATGGCCTCCACGTTCTTACGCCAATCAGTCACTTCTTCCTTCTGCAAAGATACAAAAAAAAGTTATTTAAATGTACTTTTAAATATAGTTTATTTTTCTTGATGGATGATTGTTTCCAACCAAACATTACCTTTTCGTCCTCCTTCTTCACTGTCTTGAGTTTGGCCTTGAAATCAGGCTTCATGAGTTTTGAGGGGTCGCTGCATGCACCCAGCATGTCGTCCGTGGTTTTCTTCACCTTCTTCAAGTTAGGCCTCTTCGTCCCCTTCAGCCCAAAGATCTTCTCCTTCAGTGACTGGACCTGTGCAACAAACACACCCTTCAACATCCTTATAGGTCAGTAAATATACAAATGAATTTGTGATGTACCTTAAAAACTTCCACTTTACCTCTGTTTCATTTTTGACTACCTTAACTTCTGTATCATAACGAACTTCATCTACAACATCAATTTTACGATGTAGTTCTTTGCAAAGGTCCTGCAAAGAGTAAAATAAAACATGTCAAACTGATTGAGTTATAATTTTTTCTCTTTCTGTTTCCTTGTCTTAAGGTCAATCGCTTTTGTTTGCTAACAAGTGGCTCAAAGAGAAAGAGGTTGTAGAGGACATGAAAGTCATTACGCTGAACAAGAGGAAACTCATTTACTCGGCCGTGGTGATGTTGAAGTCATGCCAATGTGTAGTTAGTTTATCTATTTACATTTGGCGATTGTATTTAGGCCTCAAAATCTTTTTGAATCGGTCCATTTGTGACTAACACGGCTTAGTATAATAACATTTTGTTTGCCAAAGGTCAACATTTCTGCAACATGAAATTTGCTTTTTGTCAAGGCAACCGTTCATTTTTAGGTCAGCTTACAACAGGGCTGTCCAAATGTCTTTTACCGTGGGCCACACACAGAAAAATATACGAAGGGCTGGGCCACTCACTGGAGGTATACTGCCTCATAATTTCAGTTATAAGTTAGCAAAATCAATCAAATGTAGGTAAATTATGCTTGTGAGTGTTGACAGCTCATCCCTTAAAACAGAAGCCTCAGATTGCTCATAATAAGGAGAAATAGGAAGGGTGTATTTCAAGCTTGTTATGTAAATAAGTAATTGGGCTTTTTTCATATCAACTAAGATATGTTAGAAAATGTTTCCAACTTTCATTGACAGAATTTATTTGAAAAGTGGTCTTATTAATAACACATGAATACTACTGTGTAATGTATTTTTACATTTATATTTAATAAGTACAACACAAGACAAGCACAGGTTTCATTTGTGGGCCATATTCCATTATACTTTTTGAATTTGTTGAGGGCCAATTCAAAATGGTCCGCGGGCCACATTTGGCCCCCGGGCCGTAGTTTGGACACCCCTGGCTTACAAAAACATGTCATCCTTGCAGTACTCTGAAATGCCTGAATCAGCATAGTTTTCTGTGTCAGTACCTGGAGCTCCTGGACTGACAGACCTGGCAGGTTCAGGGGAGGGAAACAATCTTTCACAACTCGCTCCCTCTCTTGTTTCTTCTGTTCAATTTCAGCCACCAGCATAGAAGCTGCTTTCTTCAGCAGTTTAGACTGTAATACAGGGAGGCGTTAATATGTCTGCATACAAATTATTAAAGCAGTCTAGGAGCATATGGCATTTTTAGTGTATGGTATGTTAGTGGTCTAAAAAGTCTGCAGGACCTACCTTCAAAAGCAGTCTGCGTGTTGCTGAATACTTTGTCTTTTTCTGTGAAGAAGAAAATAATGCTTTACATGTCATGTAAAGCAATTAATACAGTTTCAAATGTTACATTTTAAAGCACAAAATGCATGATTAATTAATGCATGTTTAGGAAAACATTTTTGGACTCACCGGTCTTCATCAAGATGTGACAAGACAAGTAAACAAAAGACATAGAGAGATGTTTTTATTTATCATACAAATAGTGTAGAGAATTGTGGCTCTCTTTTAGAGGTCAATACTTACCCTTCAGACATATCTGCAGTTTACGGTATCCTTTGGAGCAAAAACAAAGTTTGTTTACTCTTTTGAAATGCATTGCATGCATTTTCAACCCTTTAGATAGTTTTACAGACTAGACTTATTATTCATACATTTGAGTATTTGTTAAAGTCTTACTCATGTTTTCTACAGTGAATCTGATTAATTCAACTACTGTAGTTCACAGTTCAATAGAATGAAGTGGTCTCATTGACCTCAGTGGCTCTCAGAATCATTTCTATTTTTTTCCAAGATCAGATAATCCTTCCCATTGTTATAAGAACTGACAAGGAGCCAGTCGCTATATTTAGCCACATTGCCACCATACTTTTATGTCCCCCAGCAGCTGCCTTGTCCTTTATGGTGCCAGAGAAAAGGTTTGGCAGGCAAGAGACCAACTTTAATTACATCTCTCAAAGACTGAGAGTTATGAAAAACAATTCTCAATCCACAACACTGCTTCATTTTTATTCTGCTGCATGTTAAATGCACATGTCTTTTGTTCAAGCAGACATTTTCAGATTAGGGCTGAAGTGAAAATGAGCTGTCAACAAACCCTATCTCCTCTGTCTCTCTCACTTTCTCTGACCTTCTCATTCTAGCGTTAGCTTTACAACCACATACCTAAAATGCAATGTAACCATGCCATTATATATTAGCAAAAGTAGGTGTTAGAGACTGATGAAAGCCTGTCAATGCCTCTGATACAACACAGTAATATTACCAATTTAAATTAATCCAGCCTGACAGGGGGCTAAATTCAAGGTAAAGTATCCCAGCCTGCAGCCTTGCCCCTCAACCCAGGAGGTTGCCAGTTCATATGAGCGAGCCATCATCACTTATCAGAGCAGCTTTTAGGACAAACGACGGGTCAGGCCTGCTGTTACCAGCCGACAATACCTTTTCAGGGAGTTCAAGCCTCGGGTTACATTTCTACATTTATAGGATTAAGATATCATCAAGACGTATTTAAGATCTTGACAAAAGTGGCAACATAACAGAGATTCACTCACATAAATACCAGTCACAGTAAATGTGTCAGTCCATGCTGTAATGCAGTCTTCATCATTAAAGCCTTTGATAGCTTCTCTCACATCAAGAAATTAAATAGCAATGCTACATTAAGCAGTCTCCTTCAATGTCTAATCTGATTGACTTTGAGTTTCTTGTGAGATATACCATAGGTTGATTATATGAAACCTACCTTGAAAAGTGAGAGAAAATCAGAGCAGGCAGCAGCAGTTGTACGTCTGGAAAAGAAAAAGCACTTGATGATTATTAGCCCCCCGTCCACCTGACAATTTCTGCATCACAGTGCAACCCCTTTTTGATTTGCCCTCTACCCATGACCAATTTATCTCATGTGATTGCATTGCACAAGGGCCCACCTAACACGCTCCTCACCTCACTGACAGCTGACTTATCGACTCTGCGGATATCTGGCGCGCTGACCTTGTTTGCTTTCTCACTATGTGTCATGTGGTGGACAGGCCAAGGTTTTAAAGGTGCCTTCTAAAGTTAGTTTCAAAAATGAAAGTGTTGGAGTAATTACAAATTAATTTCTTATTATTGACCTGACAAACAAAAACAGTCTGTAATGTAGTTGTAAGCAAATACAAAGTAAGAATGACATGTTATACATTTGTCAACCATTTAAACTCTAAAAACTATAGAGCACCCGTTACTGTTGTATAAACTCTTCCAGAAAGCTTACAACCTATTAACAAGTGCTTACAGTTTGCATTTATTACGTTTCATATAAAGTTCTTTATAAACATAAAGACAATTTGTTGTATTTTTTTATGCATGTTGGATATATTGTTGTTGTTTACTTATTTTTTTTAATTTAAAAAATACTTTCTTAATTCCTTAAACTGCATCTTGAGGACAATTAGTTTGCAAACAAAAATGCACATTAATAAATCTAAATTCTCAAATAAAAATAAAATTGTTGAAATATACGAAAATTAAAGACAGTGGCCAACAATATTCAAGATGACAAATGTCAGAAAATACCCAAGTTTAAGTGCATTTATCAATCTAAATATCCAATTCACAAAACACACTTAAAGGTGGGGTAGGTAAGTTTGAGAAACCGGCTCGAGATACACTTTTTATTATATTCCATGGAATGCTCTTAACATCCCGATAGCAATGAATATCTTAAGTGCTTTGACAAAAAATCCATAAAAAAATGTCATCTGTGGAAACCGTAGTAGGCTACTGTAAAAAGCACGACCAATCATTTGATATATTCATTGTTATCGGGATGTTAAGAGCATTCCAAGGAATATAACAAAAAGTATTTCTGAAATAAATTACATACCCCACCTTTAACTAGGTAGAAAGTTAACCTAAACTAACTTCAACATGTGTTTTAGATTGCATTAAAGCTTCATAGGAAGAGTTTTAACTGTTAACAAAAACACAAGTACATACAAAACGAATTCTTATATCTGACAACAACAACACTATATAATGTTATAATGTGTTATAAACTATTCATTACGTTTTTATCTGCTACTTACAAATTGTACATTCTGAACACAGTACATCGCAACAGACGGCAGCTGCACTGAATAAAAGTAACTTGTTATATTTAGATCGAGGTGCCACCGTGGCAACTGAATCACAATTGCCCTGATACTGCTCTCACAGCAAAAACAATCTGCAGTCTATTCTTGTCAGATTTAGGCAGCACATGTCTGTCTTTCTTAGTGTTATGTAAAATGATCCTCTTGGGCTAAATGCTGTGTATGAGACAAAGTAACACTGCAACAGGAATTAATACATAACCACGGACACATTTTGTCCTATACAATATAATCCCTTGTAACTAAGCAGTGAATAGCTGCAGGTTCTCTGGTATTAATCCTGGCCCTCAGGTGTTGATCCTAGAGTGATATGTTCTGGTATCTTTTTATTAGGGTTATGGTCCCTGGTGGTTATGCGGGGTCAGGCTGGGTGTTAAGAGGTGTTTAAAGGGACAGTTCACCTCAAAACACAAATACCTCCTTTCGTCTTAGCTAAAGTGCGGTTACTCAATATAGATTGTTTCGTTAGTTGTTGATTGTTGGAGATGTTGTTGACATGTGTTAGAGATTTAAAGGGATATCTGATCCGCAAATCTCCGCGCGTCCCTATCAAGCTGGTTATAATACAGGAAGGAATCCATATCTACAAAGTAACCGTTAACAATAATCTACTTTAATGGCAATACGACAATGCAATACAATCATTACAATACAACATGATATATTACAGTTATATTGTAATGGTTAAGGAGTAATGCCGGCTTACTCCTGCCCTGGTTCGCATTCTGCAGAGATACTTTCACCCGGGGCAGCATGTGAAGAGAGACCGAACGCCAGGGATCCACCGGAGATATACCAGAGCAAGAAGGAGGGGTTAGGGTTTAGGTCAGCTGGTCATCTTTTCAGGTCATCTCATTGGGAGACGCAACGCTGGCCAGCAGGATACCAAACAGGCTCACTTTACAACAAAAGGTCTCAAGGCCTGCATACCTACACCTCCCCCACAGAGCAATAAAACCCTGTTTACTCCAACCAGCCCAGAATGTTTATAGCCATTTGTAGTCCTTACATTTATGAAAGGATAAAACAGAGAAATCAATATAAAACACAAACACAGGTATTGTTTGAACAGTATTCACTTAACTGCTACTATTGATAACCACCAGAGAAACCCAAGGGACCTCTCTTAATATCACAACCACTGTAGCTCGTTCTAAGTTGAATGCAAATCAGGACATGCTCTCTCCTTCCCCCATCTTCCTTTGTCCTCAAAAACACATGTCAACAGGCCCCATATCCAGCTCACAGTTTTACCCAAATTATTCCCATTTTAAGCTTATCCATAGTTTGCTAACATGAATAAATACAAATATAACTCTACAAATCCCCCTTTTTATCTCCTTCTCCAGAGATAAACTTAGACAAGGCATTTTGAAATATACCCACTGTCATTCTTTTCTACTGTGTCCGTAAATCCATCCGAAGCTGGTATTTAGAGTACTTGAAACCTTCATGGAGACAGAACACCACTTTCCATGGCAGTGAAGGAACCATGAGGGGGTAGCTGAGTGCTAGAATCATCAGCCCCCCCCCCCTCGGAGGAATAGCCCACAAGGACAGCTAATAGGGAGGGGGAGATGCGGCTTTCCCTTCACGGGTAGAACTGATCAGAGCGAAGTAGACTCCTCTGCTGCCTCGACAAGTCCCCTGTGCCGTCCTGGCTTGCCGTGTCTTTGTCCCCCCAATCCGCTGACAGCAGCTTCTGGGCTGCCTGCTAGAGAGATGTCTTCCTCCTCCTCGTCCTCCGGCCCGCTGATGGCGGCTTCCGGGTCGATGCTGTAGAGATGTCGATGCTGTAGAGATGTCTCCAGGGTCCTGCTCCTCCAGTCTGCTGCTTCCGAGTAGTCCACGTCTGCCAGGGCCACGTCCGTCCTGATGTCGTCCCCTGGTCCTAGTAGGTGGTTTCCCCGCCGCACACTGGCTCCCGTGGTACGAGCTGTCCCCCTTTTCTCCCAGGCAGAAGGCATAAGAGGTCCGCTGGGTCACTCGGTCGGGGTCGGAGAGCCTGGGGTTGAGCCACTTTGTCCTGATGACTTTCAGCCAGACGAACTCTGCTGTGTCGGCCTCGTGCTTCTCGGGTCCCCCTTTTGGCGCCAGCGACCTGTGTGGAGAAATCTGATACAACTCCCTCAAGCCTACGCTCAGCTGTTTTGACCCACTTGGAGCCTGTTGGTGGGGTGTCTTGAAACAACAGCCGTCTGTGAACAGGTTTTCTAAATTAATTGTAGCCCTCCTATCTGCCAGTGCAGCTTCAGAATCTTAATACTTGGATTGTGCCAACTAAATAAGAACCTCAACATCTTTAGGTAAACTAAATAACATATTTCAATAGTTCTGAATTTCTGACAAGCATCCGTATTTATTTTTAAATGAAATCCTATTTAAAATCCAAATATAATATGAACTGCTAATGTTTCTGGTAAAGAAACACACTAATGTTATGGATTCAAAAACAACCAAAATCACGATACTAACAAAGTGAATGATTTCCTGGTGATACTGCTTTTACCTGTCAGTGCTTAGATATTATCACGCTGAAAAATTGAATACAGAATTCCAACAAACTGTCATCAAATGTCTTTCTATTATAAATTTAGATGAAATGTATATCCCCATAATGACCTAAACAATAAAGTCTATGGCTTTTACTCCTTTACCAGGCTAGTTACATGATGTTGTCTAAATTAAATTCTGTCTCAATACACTACTATGTTTTAGCTTTAACTGTAATATGTTCTTTCTACATTTCAAACCTCAGTTACTCTAATGTCTGTTAAAATATTACAAAATTGTTTCATTATCACAGGTCAACTTCTTCGGTTTCACAGTAGCCCCTTGGCCACTGCTTCTTTGTTACCTGTTATAATTCAAATCAATATTTAGAAACATCTCAACATTCATCAAACAGTATCTTATCCCCAGATATGGAGCAGGTTAATTACATTCAATGCTCAGTTTGAACATCTGGGTTGGGGCGGAAGGTTTCTGTCAATCCTTAAAAGAAAAATTTAAATTGTGAATTTTACAGCCATGTTAACATTTATACATTATACTCACTCCCCCCTTTTACACATGAAATCATGTGTAACAAAACCCTGTAATGGGAGGGGAACAAAAACTGTCAGGTAATTGGTTAGGGACATAACGAACATTATTTACAATTTGACATCATTATCATTATTTCCACAGTGAACACTTCAGTGAAAAGAAGTGTTCCTCTCTGTCCTTCAGGCCTAAAAGAAACAGAATCTTCAGATTTTAGTTTTACATTTGCAAACCGCCAACTCATGTGAGAGGAAAATATCACATGTGCGGTTTCCCCTTTTTGTGGAATTTTTAGGAAACCTCTCGTTTCCCTTGGAGCTCCAAAATAATATGTTAGTCCAAAAACATGCTTGGTTAGTTATTGTTTTAGAATCATGCAGTTACACTGATCACATGCCGGCATTCATTGACACTCACACTTACTGGTTGTCATGTCAAGTTTGGTAAGCTTCACCCCAGAGTCAGTCATCCACAGTGCCTTGGCAAGTTACACTGTCGGTCAGGGTCAAAGGTCAGTTGGTCTCCGTGTTTTTTGGCCATGTGTCGTGCTCTGCAGAGACTTTGACATTTCAGCATAGGCCAGTATCCTTTGTCTACAAAAATATGTCACGATTTCAACTATGATTTTCAAGATGATTC